TGTTGCCCTGGGCGGCCGCTCACGCCGCGTGGCAACCGCAGTTTGATTGTCACTGGTGTCGCCAGGGGGACTCGTGTTCTTGGCGACGGCTGGTCCTGGGTTACGAGGGAGCGACACGTTTCCCCGAGCTTTCCCGTAGTGCGGGGSCGCTGCCCGCGCAATTTCGAATTCAGATGYCGGCGAGTCCTCCCGCCGCTTTACCCTCCCGGAAACTTTCGCGCGGACTCTGTGAGTCCGACGCCGAGGCTTGAAGGCCTCGAACCAACCACCTCCGCAGCAAAGACCCGAGGGTTYGGCCACTTTGTGAGGCCGATGATGAGGCCTGAAGGCWTCAAACCCGCCACCTATCCCCCAAACCCSTGACRGCCRAAGTYTTGTCCTCCRCCGCCATGRCCCTCTCCCCTTGATGCCTTTTTCCGTCCCGATGCATGACGACAGTTCATTTTTGCGGAAACCTTTTTTTAGTTTATCGTTTCGGAGTGATCCGACCCCCACGGGACTCCACGACGACAGTTCGGCTCCGGGGAAAACCTCAGGCATGAAACGAGGGCCTCCCGTTCCGTCCGGGAGACTCAACCCTTACGGCCAAAAATCCTCGGCCACGCCCCTCCTAAAACTCTGATCGCCAACCCCGTACGGGACACCGCGAGGGGGCGTGAGGTTGCGTATCGCAGTGCAGCCTGTTGCAGGCGCAGCATGTAACACATACACAGATGAATGGGATGCTTCAGGCCCCGTACAACCATACACAGATGAATGGTGGGAGGAGAGATGATGGAGGTGGGAGATATGGACAGCGCCAGATGTCACCAAGATAGTATCCAAAAGGTCACCGATATGGTAGCCCAAAATGTCATCGAACAAAATCAGAATGTCAGGGACATAAGTCAGCAATGTCGGAGGTACAGAATCCTAATGTAACCGATGTCCGATCTGTGATGCCGCCAGGATATCAATCCCAACTATCTCCAATGTCTCGAATCCGGTAAGTATCACATCCTCCTACCACCGAAGTCCAATCACTGATCTCTGTCCAACTCGTATCAAAAGTCTCCAGTCTGAAGAAGAAGAAGAAGAAGAAGTCCAAAGAAGAAGAAGAAGGAGAAGAAGAAGAAGTCTGAAGGAGAAGAAGAGGAAAGGGGCAGAGCATTGGCGGAGATGGCGAGTAGCTCCAGGCCCTACCTGATGGTACAAGGTGGCGCCTTGGCTGCTGCGGGAGATGGCTGTGCTGCTGGGAGCTATGGCGGTCATGGCTGCTGTCAGGTAAGTCTCCCTCCTCGCTCCTCCCTACTGCAGTGCGGTAAACTTAGCACTGCAATTCCCAGCGCTGTGCTGAAACCAGAATAGTGCAGCGAGGCCACTCCTTAGTGCCGCTTCTCCAAGATGCCTGGAAAGGCCGCTAGACCGGCCAAAGTACCGGCGGCGGCCGGTCGGCCTCAATGGTGCCTCAGCGCGCCGTGATCTGAATCGTCAAGATTGATAATTCAGATCAGACCGGCGGGCGGCAGCCTCAAGGGCACCTCCAGGCCCAACGGTAATGTCTTTTGGGCCTATACGTGGTCTGCTGCAGGAAAACCAACCGGTGGCCTCAATGCGGCCTACGGGGAGAAAGGTCCGGCCTTTGGCTGGGCCGGCCTAAGTGCCCCTTAGGGTCTCGCCACACCACTCTTGAAAACTCTTTTTCAAGAGATGCTGCATCGCCACACAGCCTCTTGACACTTGGGGCAGTCAAGAGCTGTCAGAGTGGCTCTTGAAACTTTTTCAAGAGCAGCTCTTGAAAGATGGGAAACCCCAGCCTGCAACTCGTGCTTTTCCAAGCTTCCTTGAGCGTCCTTGCCCGAACCCTTGAGGGACTTTCGATTTCAAGAGTTGTCAGGCCGTTATCCTGACTCCATTCCAAGAAAACAAAGCTGTATGACTGTCTTTTTTCATCCTCTGTCTAACACCATTGCCCTCTCGAGAGTGCTGTGTGGCGAGGGGCCGAAAACTCTTGAAGACCCAACTCTTGAGAACGTCTGACAGCTCTTGAAAA